CTGCTCCCCTCAGCAGTGTACTTCATCGATCTGCCTGTTCTGTTCCCCACTCTGTCTCTGGTGAAGCCTCTCACCGCCCCCTGAGCCTCTGGCCTGTACCCCAGTTCTGTATGCACAAATAAATAAATCTTTAAAAAAAAAAAATCCCAGGAGACCTTTAAAACATATGAAAAGATGCTCGGCCCCTCCTAAAACGAGAATTGGATATCCAGCCTGCACCTAGCCTTTCCATGTTCCACCTGTTCCCTAGCAAAGATAAGAAAGTCTAATAACCCATTGCGTTGTCAAGAGCGAAGGAAATATTGTTCACTCACACACTAGTGGGAGTTGGAAGTTGGCACCACCTCTAAAATGAATAATCTCCTGTTGTCTGTCAAAATTGCCAAGCCATACTTACCATTTGATCAAAAAACACCAGTTCTAGAAGTTTATCCACAAATACTTGCACAAATGGGAGACATAATTAATCATCGCAGTCCTGCTTATAATAGTGACAAATAGAAACAAACCTAACCTAACTTTTAGGTAGATTATGCAACTATTTTTGCATACCTAATATGCAAATATTATCTAATGAGGAGATCCTTATATTGTAGCTTGGAAGGAGATCTCCAGAATATTGACTGGAAAGGAGGGTCGGGGTGGGGCCCACCTGGTGGGAGGATTCTTTGGGCCCAGTGATTCCAGAGTGGGGCTCTGTGGGAGCATGTCTGAGAGGAAATGCTCTAGGACCTGGAAGCACTTTGAAGAGGGGGCACTTGGAAGAGACGGGGCACAGGGGTGAGGGAGCCGTCTCACTACATTTTTGTACCTTTTGAACTTTGAAGTGTTGTCATGTGTCATCTAATCAAATAAGAAAGAACTCAAAACTTTCATGGACCCACTGGATTCTGCGATTTTAACACAACATGATTTTACTGTTTTGTAATTTATGATCTAACTTATTATGACTGATTACAACACTGGAAGTCCATCTCTCTCTCTCATGAAGCCGGATGCGTGAAGTTCACTCCCATGCAATGCCCCCATGAACTCCAGCGGCCCCAGTGGAGGGCTCCCTCCCTCACACAGCAGCTGCATGGGCTCTGGCTTCCCCTGGCCACACAGCGCTTGGGGGTCTCTCTCATTCTCATGCCTTCTCTATCCTTTCAGGGGAGCCTTCTCAGTGGTACGCAGGTGTGTGAAGGTGCTGGCCGGCCAGGAGTATGCTGCCAAGATCATCAACACCAAGAAGCTTTCAGCCAGAGGTAGGCGGGGAATCCATACCTGGTACACTCTGGGGGCTTCTTCCCTTTGCTTCCCACCACGCTTCAGGTTAGAACCCAGACCTGTCTCTCTCCCTGGGTGATGCTCCTGGAAAGGTGGGGTTCTCCTTCTGTGGGTTGTATGGAAACAGACCCATTGTTTCCTTCCTTTGGGAAGAATCTAGCCACTCCCATAGGCCAGCACGCTGCTCCCCAGTCGACTGGAAGCTACAAAGCACTAGTGACTCTTCCTGTCCCTGCTTTTCTGCCATGACCCTTTACACCTGAATGCCCTCACCTGGATCCTTACAAGAGTGGCTCTTTCTCCACCTCCAAGTCCCAGATCAATGCCACATGCCTTGATGGCCACCCCTCTCCCAAGTTTAAGGAGGTCATCCTCACTCTGGATCTCTCTTAGCTGTTTACTTCCTTAGTGACTTTCCCCCAGTTGGGCTTAGCCCATTTTCTGGTTTGGCTCCTTATTTGAGACCTGGAAGTGTCTGCTCCCAGAGGGTGGGGAACGTTCTCATTTGTGACCCAGCACCTAAAGTCAGCTCAGTTCTGGGGGCACTAGCTGTAATCCCAGTGGCTCCAACTTGTGTCCTGTGGACACCTGACACATGGCTTTGCCACACAGGGGACTTTTGGCTCCTAATGTCTCCTTGACACAGTGGTTCCCAAACCTGTCCCCATACCAAGTTTCCCTGGAGAGCTTCAAAACCCCTTGGTGTCTGGGTTTCTGGCCCAGGGGTGTGGTTAGTTGGGACTGTGATATGGGTTCTGGTAAGTCTTGGAAGTCTTGGAAGTATTCCTAGCCCCACAGAGCGCTCAGGAGTGCTCACCAGGAAGTTATTAGAAATGCAACTTCTTGAGCCTTACTCCAGGCTCAAGGAAGGCTTAAGGAAATCTGCATTTTCACAAGATACACAGGTGACTGGTAGGAACATTAAAACTTAGGAAGCCTTTGCAGGAGACTTGCTCCTTGCCCTTCACATATCCTGGGGGTGACCCGAGGCATGTGAGGATGGGCCATCATGAAACATCCAGTCTCACTCTGAATACTGCCTTGGGGACCACCTTGTCGGTGGGCCTGCTGGGTGCAGTGATGCAGGTATGGGCTGTACAGCCCTTGGCATGCATTTGGGGGGGAAGACACAATTTGGGGGCTGTTTTGTCCAGGTGTTTGCCTGGCACAGGCCTCAGCTGGGTCTGGGCTGCAGCCCAGCAGGTGTGGGGTTCACACAAGTGCTACACGGTATTCATAGGTCTCCCAGCAAGACTCATGTTGGATGCATGTTGCTGCCTTTCATCCCTGGCTCTGTTGCCAGGAGCCTAGCATTTTCTCCTAGTTACCCAAGCCCCCTTAGGCAGCCCAGTGTCATGCAGGGACAAGAGGGTCAGCAGAGGGGAGCGAGAAGCCGAGGTGGGCTCTGAAGACCCAGGGCTTCTGGGTGGCATACGGTCTGAACAAAGGCTGAAGTGAAAGGCCCAGAGCCAGGGCCAGGGCTGGGCAGCCAGAGGGGCAGGGGCGGGTGTGGAGGGTGGGGGGCGTTTGCCTCCAGATGCCACTGTGGTGGGATGAGTGGCCATGTGGCACCCCCTTTGAGCTTGGTGTTGGCAGGGGTAAGGGCAGAGGTCCCAATCTCTGAGATGCCATGGTGACAGGACTAGAGCCACGACTTGGGGTGACATGCTGAGGTTGTCCAGGTGGAAGGTGGACCCAAGGTCTTCCTGGATGCTGGGTTCCTGAAGCAGTTCACCACAGAAGGACATTGCCTCTTTTCTGGGAGGTGACTGGGCTCTCTTGGGACAGCATAGAGCCACACAGAGTGACAGCCCTAGCTCTATGGGCAGCCCTGAGGCAGGTGGCTCAAGCTCAGGTGGGCTTAGAGGTTGGGGGTGGGGAGCCTCTCAGGGGAAGCTTCCAGAAGCTTTTCTCCCCAGCAGGGAGGGAGGAACAGCGCTTCTTGAGCAGATTTCTTTGTTTGTCACCCTTGGTCGGGAGAGGTTTGATGATGGATCTTTGGCAACACACACTAAGCTTCTCGCTGGCACTCTGGGGGTGACTTGGTAGTTGGAAACAGGAGCCTTGGGGGCGTCTGTCTGCCCCTCCCAGGAGCCACATTTCCCCTGCCCCACCCGCTTGGCCTCTTGCAGTGACTGGTTCCCAAATGCAGGAGAGATTTTTTAATCTATAGTTTTAAACTTGTCTTTTAAATAAAGACATCGTAACATAAACAAGTCAAAGAAACCATAAAGATGTGAGATGAAAAGTAAACACTGCCCGTCCTAATCCCAGCCAAATCTCCTTGGTTGTCTTTAAAAATATGCAGCCCAAGTTCCTAGGCAGGACTCCGGCACAGACGGAGAAGGCTAAGGAACACCGTGGGGCATCTGGGGGGTGCAGCCCAAGGTGACTGGCTTGGGGAAGTGACCTCCGGCCCTACTGTCCATCCCAAGGGCTGAAGGTCACTTCCAAGACTCCCTGCAGAGACCCCGGGAGGTGTGACCTCGGTCAGGTTGCCCTCCAGCATCAAACCTGTGAGGAGGTCCCACAGATCAAGTCCTTCTTTCCCTCTTCCTCATCTTTCTCTCAGTCTCTGCCAGTCACTCTGGGGCCTTGGGGTTTTCTCCAGCAGCCCAGCACTGGGAGCTCCTGTTGAGCCCTACAGAAGGCCGGGCCATAACCTGTTCTCCCCTGGCTCCTGTGCCTCCAAGGAGACCCCACTGTCTGTTGCAGCCACTCCCCGCACTGGCAGAGCCCCCAGGCCACCCCACTGCTTCCATGCTGCCCCCACTCCCGCTTTACCTTACTGTGCATCTCTCCTCTGCCCCCCGGCACTGGCTGGTTGCAGAAGCTGTACCCCCGAGTTTCCACCCACCCCCGCACACATCTGAACTGGGTACATTCAGAAAGCAAGAGGGTAGTGTGAATGGGTAGCGCAGGACTGACGCTCAGTGAAGTCAGGTGGGGAAGCTTTCTGAGGAGCTGACTTTAGGCTTGAACCGGTCTGAGAAGGCAGCAGCTACAGGAAAGCCCAGGAGGAGAAATTTCCAGGTCGAGGGCTCGGCAGGAGCAAAGCCCTGAGGTGGGAAGGGGCTTATGTGCTTGAGGCCAGAAAGGAGGCTCATGTGTCTGGGCTTCAGGCTGAAGCAGGGCCCTGTTGTTCTGACTGAATTACACAGACCGTGGCCTCTCGTAGCCATGGCTCTGCCTCTGTGCATGCAACTGACTGCACATTGAAAATCCAGGGTGCTGCAGAGCTGCCCTGCCAGCGGTTGGGCCTGTACCGATACAAGTACACACGCATCTGGACAAGGACATCCTTAAAATTGCCATTATTCCCTAAACCATATAGCGTAACAGCTATTTATTTAGGTGTCGCAAGTTATATAGAGGTGATTTAGCACATAGGTGAGGTTGTAGGTCAGTTATAGGAAAACAGTGCCCCACTTTACAGAAGGGACTGGAGCATCCGTGGCTTTTGGTATCTGGGGAAAAGCGGGGGGTCCGGGAACAATCCCCCATGGAGGCAGAGCACTGAGTGTACACTGTGGAGCTGTGGGAGCACCTGAAGCCAGGGGTAACAGAATCTAATTTGTGTTTTAGAAAGAGTCTGTGTCTGCCAGGGCATACGGGGGTGGGGTACAGGCAAGGGAAAGTCCAGGAATGGGGCCTCAGGGCTCTGAGTTCTTGTACACTCTGATGAGTGATCTTGATAAAGGAACTGCTCCTCATTTACTGGGCCCTAGATTCCCTCCTTTCACAGCAGAGAAGCACCTCAGATGTCACAAGAAGAACTGTTCCTCCATTTCTTGAGTTTTCCTGCATATTATAAAATGAAGACATTTCAGTCTTACAAAAGTCATTGCATAATGTATATGCTTACATTCAACAAATTAATGCTTTTAGCTGCAGCGCGATCATCGTGTACTATGCACAAGATGACTGCACCATGTATAAAAATAATTAGTCCTGGCATTTCCAGCAGTGAGGCCTGATAGCCAGGTTCAAGTTTGAAGTTGCAAGACCCGCATTTCCTTCTCTTGGTGTGACTGTCCTGGGTGACTGTAAATGGAAAAGATGTCAGAATTCTGGATTTGGGCCTCTGCCCCTGGCATCTGGGCCAAACGGGGCCAGTCTTGTCTGATAGGCCCAGCTTTCATCTGCTCGCTCTCTGGTTCAGCTGGGAGGAGACAGGGCACAGAGCCAGGGGAGGGTCCAGCTTCCCTCAGCTACAAGAGGATCCTTCTCCTCCACCCAGGAATTGGCCTCCACAACCTGGAAAATGTAGAAGATCGGGAAAGAAGGAAACCCCTCAGCTCCCCCAACCCCCCCCCCCCCCCCCCCC